TAGACAGAGGATTTGTTCTTAAGGCTCTCAGAGTGACTTCACAAAACCTGCATGGGTAAGTCGCAGTGAAAGATTCGACAAACCCACCTATACCATGAGAGCCAAGACTGTCACCACAAAGAAGTTGCAGTCTAACTTTTATTACCCTGCCCAAAAACTGGATGCCATCCCGACACAGCTTTTGAAGGTCCTTTTTCACAGGTTCAAAACAAGCAGCATAGCCATAATCTTCAATAAGCTTGTTGTTCACCATAAGAGTCATGTATAATGCATCTAGCATAGCTCGTATAGCATGAGGAAAATTCCCAATGGTGAAATAACACCCAACTTGTTTGTAGTCATTTTTTGCAGCTCCCAATGGAGAACAAGGGTTAAACCCATCTTGGAAGTAAATAAGATCTATTGTATCTTCTGTAAAAGTAGGACTATTTTTGTACACCTCCCCATCATGGTAATCTGTGATTTTGTCTCCATTGTCTTGCTTTTGACGAACAAAAGAGTCCTCAATGAGGCCACAAACAGCTTCATTATTAAAAATCATCTCTAGAGTGTCTTTTGCTGAAACAAACTGCAATTTGTTGTCTTTATTATATGGATCATCTCCAATGACCACTTCTGTTGGCTCACAATAAAAAAACTTCCGTTTTGCATGTTGCATTCTAAAGTAATCAGAAAGAAGTTTAGGCCCTGGAGATCCCTTGTGATGAGCTGTGTACATAACATCATTGAAATATAAATGATTCATGATATTGTTACATTGCTGCTCATTGATGCCCAGATTTTTAAGCTGAATTAAAACAAGACCCTGAGTGCGTTTCAGCAAAATTTCAGACAGCAAAGATAAACTGTCACAGATTTTTTGAACAGTTGACTTAGGTATGAAATGTTCACTTTCCAGTTGTAAATAGAAGCGTGCAATAAAATCAAATACATCACTTTCACTGGGCACATCTGATTCGATTGAAACATTTTCCGTAGCTTGGTCATTCTCAGTATTTGAGTTGCAGTCAGACGCTGCTTGCCTTTCTTGGGTCTGTACCACAGGACGGCTGGATGCGGATGAATCTTCACAAGCTCTTCTTTGAGGCTGAGGAGCGTTCCTCCAGCCATTATGATAATTAGACAAATGAGTTCGGAGGCGAGCAATGGAACTTTGAGCACTGTAGAGAACATCACTTTTGCACTTTTCTCTCAGAGGACATTGAAGAGATGAACCTTTACTTAGATGTTCAATACAATGCTTGACCAATACAGCTTCAGAACCGAAAACAGTTTCTTCACAACCTTCACTTGAGCACTTGAGCGCAGTAGGAGCAGGACCAGAAGTTGTTGATGTCGGATGATTTTGTAGGATGTGCTCATTCAGACTTTTATATCCTTGGTATG